AAGGTCATTATAGGGAAAAATGGGTACGCGGGGTGGGGCTTTGGTGGCTTTGGTGGGGTAAGGTAGGGATAAGATAGGGAGTTGGGATAGGATGGCGGTAGGGTGGGGTCGGGATCAGGGTGGGCCGGGGTAGGGAAGGGGTAGGGTGGGGGTAGGATGGCGGTAAGGGTGGGGGTAGTGGGTAGGGTTTGGGGTTGGGGTAAGGTAGGGGTAGGGTAGGGAGTTGGGATAGGATGGCGGTAGGGTGGGGTCGGGACCAGGGTGGGAGTGGTCCTATTTTTAAACTTTGTACATGTTTTAGTCATATATTGAGCATTTTCTATTTAATAATTTAATCTTAATATTCAAACTCCTGTATATCGTACATAATGCGAAGAAATGATTAATATACGAGGTGTTAATGACCCTACCCTACCCTACTGCCACCCCTACCACCTTGACCCCACCTCGATCCACCCTACCCTACCTCGGCCCCACCCGATCCACCCTACCCTACCTCGGCCCACCTCGATCCACCCTACCTACCTCGGCCCCACCCTACCCTACCTCGGCCCCACCTTGACCCCACCTCGATCCACCCTACCCTACCTTGACCCCACCTCGATCCACCCTACCCTACCTTGCCCTATAATTTAATGACCCTACCCTACTGCCACCCCTACCACCTTGACCCCACCTCGATCCACCCTACCCTACCGCCACCCCCCTACCACCTCGACCCCACCCCGACCCACCCTACCCTACCCCACCCCTCGTATATTACCACTTACCCCTACCTTACCCCTTACCACATGCCTCCTACCTCGGCCCCACCCCACCGCCATCCTACCCCCACCCTCGTACCGCCATCCTACCCCACCCTACCCTACCTCAGCCCCACCCGGATCCCTGGCCCACCCTACCGCCATCCTATCCCAGGATGGAGGTAAGGTACCAGAATGGAGGTAGGGGTAAGGGGTAAGGTACGAGGATGGAGGTACCAGAATGGAATCGACATCGGAGCGGGACCGGACCCACCACTTGGTGTAAGCAATGTTCTAAAAGGCGCTAGACGCTAGTCGGGCGCTAGCCCAGCGCCTAACGCCTAGGCGGCTAGGCGGGGCGCCTAGGCGGGGGACTAGTCGGAAACATAAAAATTATAGTTTTATCAATATTTTTGTATAAATATGATTAGTAATGTTGTGTTTTGGTGTGTTTAAAAAATATATATGCACATTAACATGCATGAATGATAGAGTTGTCACATTCAATAATATATTATTCCTACTCACTTGACTTTATTATGTAGTAAATATAATATTATTAAAGAATAATAACACTCAATTTTTTATCGTAATCTACAACTAATAGCTTTCTTCATCATATGCATTGTTAGAATTAAGGGTATAAATATTACTAAGAATACTAAAATATGTTCGACGAATCTAGACGTCTAGGCGACCGATTAAGCGCTTTGGGCGGGCAACTAGGCGCCTTAGGCGGCCGACTAATTCACCTAGGCGTCAAATCAATTAGTCGGAGCACCTAGACTAAAATCGGGGCGCCCGGCCATCGCCTAGCGCCTAGGCGGGGACTAGTTGGACGCCTAGAGCGATTTTTAGAACAATGGGTGTAACTATGCAAATTCATTGCAAAGGCACTGTAGCATCTGCGTTTTCCAAATTTGAAAAACTAGTAAAAGTCACTTCTCCAAATCATTAAGGAAAACAGAGACATGTTTCATTTTTTCCGTTTTGGAAAACGATTTGGTAAACGCGTTTTTCTTTTTTCCTTTCTCCAGTTTTTCAGAAATTTCTTTGATAAACACGTTTCCTGTTTTCTGTTTTCCAGTTTTCCAGTTTTCTGGAAAACTGGAAAATATTTCTGTTAGTAAACAGGCCCTAAGGTTTGCTTTTTACCAAATCAATTGCCATGTATATAGAATTTCTAAAATACTTGCCTGCTCCTATTTTTGACGTTACCAATTACTCCGTAGTTTTAAGTGATTATTACTCCATGTAGGTTTAAAAATAGATGAAGTACACAAATATGAGGACTTACATTTTTGACGTTACCAATTGGATTGATTTAATTCTATCTACTTACTTACTAATAAAGTAGAACCTTTTATAGTAATTGCTATTGAGTACAATTTATCAATTATCTAATTGCTATTAAGTACAATTGATGAATTCTATAATTGCTATTAAGTACAAATTGATGAATGATGTAATTGCTATTGAGTACAAGAACATGCACCTTAGCTTTTATCACACGTTCAATACACTTCCCTTAAAAATTATATTTTGTTTTAATAAAGAGATGATTTAATGTAAGAATTTTAGATTCCATATTCTATCTCATTCCATAAATACAATATGATTTGGAATATGGAATATTACGAGCCCGTTTGGTAGCCCAATTTTTCAGCTTATCAGCCAACTTTTCACCAAACACACAATTTTTTATTCCATGCGCTGAATTTTGTAATAATAAAAAAAAGTAAGGTTGAAGTTACTTTTCTAGCTGTATTGGCAAAATTACTGTAGAGGGCCATTTTAGCTATTCTTAATTTTTTGCATTTAATTTTTTCTTTATTTAAATAATAAAATATATTTTAAATACTATTTATTAATAAATCAGCACAATCAGCCAATTCAATCACTTCAGCTAGAACTTCATAAATTTCAGCAGAATCAGCCGATTTTGGCATTACAAAATAGGTTCTACATATTCTATCTCATTCCCTACCATGTTTTACAAAGGCTAGATACTCTTACAAACAAGACACTTAATTCCTCAGCTCTTTCAATTTCACAAAATACGTAACTCTTCAACTCTTCCAATTTTACAAGACACGTAACTCAAGTGCGTCCATAAAATATCTGAAATATAGACACATATTATAAGGAACACGTGTGATATGTGTGTGTGCGCGTGCGCGTGTGCGTGTGTAGACGTCCAATTTTTGGACATGCTATTTGTACTATAAAATGTCTAAAGGTTACTCAATAGATAAAATATTTATTGTGACATTATTTAACATAGTTAGGTTGTTCAAACTAATTTTGTACGTATGAAACTACTTTTTTTATTTCTTTTTAGAAATAATGTTTATGTTTTTTTTTTTTACCTTAAATCATATGTTAACCGTCTCTTATTAAAGTTTTCATATATTATTTCCCTCCTGATATGTCGAAATACAGAAGGAAACATATACCATAACAAGTATGGGTTAAAAAGTGTATATGCAAAAAAGTGTATGAAGACTTTTTAGAGGTCATATTTGAAATATATAAATGTCTAAATATTACTCAATAATCAGAGTATTTGTTGTGGCATTATTTAACATAGTTAGCCTGTTAAAACTAATTTTGTGCGTATGAACTACTTTTTTAATTTTATTTTTATAAATAATGTTTGTGATTTTTACCTTAAATCATACTACATCCGTTCTAATTTGTTTTGCAAAGTCAACATTTTTTTATGTGCTAATGTTAAACTACGCATGCTACTACAAGACACCGACTAAGTAATATCTTTTTGTAGATTCCCTATTCATGGAGACATGACTCTATAAATTTTATACAATACACTTGCATATATTTTCTTGGAGGGGAGCAACTATACCGTGCGCAATGTGGGGTGAAAAGGTTGAGTACGTTGGGGGGGTATAGAAGTAATTTCAAGCCACCTTTAATAATTGTTACATGATTGGGGCTTACTAACACATTTAATGGTAACTTATTAATACAATTCTTATTTAAAAATGTTAATATATGATATATTTAACAACACATGCTTTATTTTTTACAAAGTGAAACATATGTGACTGTTTTTTTAAAATTAAAATAGCATTATTGTTCTTAATGGAAAGGACAAATGGTGCATTGAGCTGAGTTTCGAGAAAGGTAAGGACAATAAAAGAAATTAGATCTATTTTTAAAAAATATAATATTTAAATAATATATCACTATATTTTATGATTATTTAGGATCCTAAAAGAGCATCGAAACTCATCAGATCTCGCTCGCTAAGTCTTACCCACACTTCTTACAAGAAAAGGTGTTCTGAAGACTTATTGTTAGAAATTTAGTTTATGCCTCTAAAATAGTTGCTAAATTGATAATGTTTAAAGAGCTAGGTAGCTCTATGACTACATCAATTTTATGAATACAAGATTTGTTAATCATTTGTATTAAATATACTATTTTCTGATAAGGTTGGGAAGCATATTGGTTTGGAAAGTGTCATGTCATCAAACACATGCAAATATGTAGACAACCCAGTTTGCTAATAGCACATCAATGTCTGGATTGCCTAATCATGCATATTCTTCATTTAAAACTCAGAGCACCGATAATGTTTTTGAGAAATATTGATTAGAAGGAGTAGAGAGGTCTTAAGATACTTATTCGTTCAAAAGAAAGAGGGTTCTCCACCAAGATTGTTAGTGCTTTTTATAAGGAGTTTTTTCAAAACCTAACCATGTGGTATCTTATGTGTCTGGTGTTACACGATTAACATGTTTTGTACAATATCAATATTTTATTGCTTCTTTTTTATTAAAATACCATTCAAAGTAAAGAAATTTTTATACGAGGTGAAACAGTATATTACTTATATATATAAGAATATATATATATCAAATGGTTCTAACAACCTCACTATGCACCGCCCGGGTAAAACACTAGTTAAGAGTATATATAAAACATTCCCAATTAAAAGTGGGTGAGTCATATTATGGTATTTGTGCAATTTATCAATGTTTAAATTTTATTTAAATAATTTTGTAATCAACTTTCCACTTTTCCGTCGAAATGAATTGATGAGGAATCAAAGTTGGGTTCGAGCTTGTTATTTTTTCCCCTCCACTACCGTGCATGGATATTCATTTCGATGGATTAATTGAGGATGAATCAAGCTAGCTTAATTAGGTTCTTTGCTTTTCTTCTCCGCAACCATTTATATTCCTTACTTGTTCATTTGATACATTTATATTCTCTTTGTGTACGTGTGTATATATATACGGATTAGCACATTGATGATATTGTATATACGTACGTGGCGGCACATTAATTGCTTCAATATAATATACTACGTACTTAAAAAAATCCAACGGTTTTGGATCCGATGGCGGCAGTGGACGTGGAGTATGTGAAGGAAATAGAGAAGGCGAGAAGGGATCTTCGAGCTCTCATCTACTCCAAACAATGTGCTCCTCTTATGCTTCGTTTGGCGTATGTTTATCTCCGATCCATCTCACGTTAATTTTCTCCTTTGCCACGGATTTTGTGCATACATTAATTATTATTGTCAAATAAATGCGCTTTCCTATTCGGACATTTGTTTTTTTTAAAAAAAAATAGGTGGCATGACGCAGGGACGTATGATGCAAAAACAAAGACAGGAGGCCCTAATGGATCCATTAGAAACGAGACTGAATACAATCATAGTGCAAACGCTGGACTGAAAACTGCCATTGATCTTTGCGGTATATATTTTGGATTTTCCTCAATTATACTCAGTACTAAATTCAAAATAGATTTCTAAATACAGTACCACTTTCTTTAAAAAAAATTACAATACTGCTTATATATATATATATAGATAAACATTTGACTAGCAAAGTAATCAATTTGGAAAAATACGATGACATGCACTCTTAGTTTTTATGTTTTTCTAGTGTCACTATTGTCACCACGAGTGACACTATCACCACCACCGGTATCATTGTCATTGAAACTGGTGTCACTGCTACAATGAACATGTCATTCTGACCATCAGAAATTTATTCCCGTGATCACTTTTTCCAATGAAAAAAATAGATAAAATGACAGGGGTAGGCATGAATACTTGGGTATGAATTCGAATTAAAAGAAAAGTATATTAATTAAATATTACTTAGTCACACTTTTTTAGAAAATTAAATATTAACCATACTACACATTTGAGTTTTTCTTTACAAATTGGTGACATAGAATTGAATTTATGGATGAAAAGTTGACTAAAGACACTATAACTCTATAAGTAGATGGCGAAGATCTCTTCAGAATTAATTTGAATACTCCTTCCGTCCCAAAAATGGTTGGCCAATGTTGACTTGCACGTGGATTAATAAAGTAAAAACTGTGTGGTTGAAATTTGTGCAGAGGAGAGATAATTAACTTTAATTTAGTCACATATTCCTTACTTTAAATAGAAATGGTCAACCTTTTTGAGACGGCCAAAAAAGGAAATTTGGCCAACCATTTTAGGACGGAGGGAGTATAACACTCACCGAAATTCCAATTCATGTTTTCTAAAATATGAAAGCCACATATTATTTTTTTAATATCAAAACAGCTCTTACTATAATCACATATTCCGTACTACATACTAGTATCACTTATTATTTCTTGTTTGTTTGGTTAAAATTCTAAACCTATATATTCATATCTTCATGACGGTTTTCTAATTACATTTCTGTATGTGGCATCAGAATCAGTAAAAACCAAGCATCCAAAAATTACATATGCCGACCTCTTTCAGGTGACAAATTTAAATTATTCCTGTACCTTTTTTACTCTATACATATACGGAGTGAGTAGTTTGTTTGGTTGGTTCTTCTTTTGGCTGGCTCTTTTATGCGAATTGAACTCCTCTCCGGTGACTTGAAATTTCCAGTTGGAGGGGCAGTGAGATAGATGAGAAGGTGGGTGAGGTAGGGAAAAATAAAAGGTGGGGTGAGGTTAGTGATTTGTAGGAGAGAGATAGAATAAAAAAGAAATGAAGATGAGAAATGGAGGGAAAGAAATGGAGAGGAGTATGACCCCTTTTATGCAGCACGTATTCACTATTCAGAGCTATATATGTTTGTTTAAAAATTGTTACTACCTCCCTCCAACTAATTGAGACCAGGGGCGGATACAGGAATGAGGGGTGGGGTGGGTTAAGCTGTAATAATTTTCGTTAGTGCATACAAAAGGTTTAGCTTAGGACTGATAGCTATTGAACTGAGTTTTTTTTCAAACTACTTGAGTTCAATCGTGATTTCGAATTTAATTTAATGATCAAAGCTTAACGAGCTTCAATCTCGAGCACGGGCTAAATTTGAGTTTAAAAGGTTTGTTTTTACAAAAAAAAACGGCTGTTGTTTTTTTGAGTTTGAATAGTCATGTTCAAGCTGAATTCGAGCATAGTCATGTTCAGTTCGATCTGGACTCGAGCATATTGATAACTTATAAATTATAGAAATAAACTATATACTACCTCCGCCCACTTTTATTAAGACTAATTTGACTTTTCAAGTCAAAGAAGTTAAACTTTGAATGACTATATATTTATACAATCAAATTGATAATATGAAAATGATATGGAAATGTTCTTTGTTAAAAAGTTTATCATAAAAGTATAAATTTAGTAAGTTTCACATTAATACATGAGTTAAAATGATGGATCAAAGTTTACCATCTTTGACTAAAGAGTCAAAGATGGCTAAATAAAACGAGACGGAGGCAGTATATCTAAAATTTAAACGTTTTTATGTGATTTATAATTTTATTATTGACTATTAAATATTTTAGTATTTATTGATATGAATTAAAATACTTCTATAAAAGTATAAAACTAATAAGTAAAAAGAGTCGATGTACATAAAACTAATAAGTATTCCCAATTTTAAAATTGAATTGAGATTTTGAATCCATTCTTACATGCCTAAACAGTAAATACATCGTTCTCTAATCTTTAATTGCATAATAAATAAATCATTTTCTAATCTTTAATTCTATCTTTAATCATTATAAATTTATAATAAATAAAAACTATTTTACTGTATACTGAAAAAATTCAATTAATAATCAAGTAGAATTACAAAGCTGGTAGGCTTGGGCTAGGCTAGACATTAATTTTGATGTGGGCTGGAAATTAAACCTATACCTATAATAATAAAAATAAATTGGGCAGGGCTAAAGCCCACCCCTGCCCCAATATAGATCCGCCCATGATTGAGACATGAGGGGTGACACGATGATTAAAAAAGTGAGTTTATGTTATTGATATTGAATTGATAAGGTAAGAATAAAGTAAAAATTATTTAGAACCACATTAACTTTATCAAATTTGGTATAAGACAATCCTAATGAGATTTTCCAAAAGAAAAAAAATGGGACAATCTTAACGGGATGGAGGAGGTATTATACTTGTCGTCCTAAAGTGGGTCAAGTGGAGTATCAAAGTTAGTACTAGTACTTATAAAAGGGCAAATTTGCTTATTTTAAGTTAATAAGGGCTAATTATTTGTTCCTTTATATAGGAATAACATACGTCCGTATTTTTGGGTCGTTTAGAATTTTAGGAGTATATATGCACTTCTACATATACTTTCCTCAATTGAGAGTTGGACACAGGAGACAAAAGTTAAACAATAATCATCTATCTTTTAGAATTTTGTTGAATTTCCTTATTTAGTTGTCAAAATTAAAAACCTTTTGCCAATTCCTAATAATATGTGCTTAAAGATATTTCTTGTTTTGCTCTGCATAAATAATTTTTAATAATTATTTTACATGCAAATCAAATTTGTTTGAAAGGCGTACGAGTAATGTAATTAGTACCCGTCTTAACTAATTACATGTTCTCAATTAATTATCTCTTTTCTAAGTTCGATTTAAGATTTTTATTTCTATTTTAGAGAATAATTAATTAACAGTCTTAAAGAGCAGCTTAATCATCACATAATAATAAAAGTAATACTCCGTACATTAATTATACTATAAATTCACCCAAACTAGCTATTTCTCACAATATATTGAGTTATTCTCTCAGATTCGTGCCTTATTTAAAGGAAATGCGGTAACTTATTGGAATCCTAGGTAGGATGTTTTCTTTTGGACTGTAATTTGTTGGTCCGGTCTGATCTGATCTGGTCTGGTAAACGTCTGGTCTCTGTGTATTTTTAACTACGGAAGTCTGGTCTGGTCTGTGATTGAAAATAGTCCAAAAGAAAACATTCGTAATGTGTGAGCATATAATTAAAGCAACTTCACTAATTAAATCAGTACTGTATGTTTATTGTTTGTGCAGCTTGCAGGGATTGTAGCTGTAGAGATCACGGGAGGTCCCTCCATCGATTTTGTTCCCGGTAGAAAGGTACGTACACCGACAAAAGCAGGGCTTTAGACCATTTGTAGTGGTTACAGATTAGGAGTCAAAAAATTAAATATGGAATTTTTAGACTCTTAATTGAGTGTAGTGGGAGATTAAAGGTGGGAGTAAAAGTGGGAAAGGGAGTGGAGGAGGCTAAAAATAGAGGGTTGGGTTGACAGGGGAAAAGAAAAGGAAAAAGAAAAAAAGAAGAAAAGACGCCGCTGCTGCGCGTTGTTGATGGGTTCTGCTGACGTCATGCTGATGTCACGCTTACGTCATTAAAATCCCATTTTATTTTAAACTCTTATAACTTTTTTATTTTTTCTCCAAATTCTTCAAAAAATATATCAAAATTCATGATTTTTTATGATCTTTCATATGACACCAATATGTAATACATACAACGAAAAAAAATTAATTTCAACTGTTGAAGTTTTGGTGAACCCAAAAAAGCACGAAACACGAATTTTTAATTCATTAAGCCTTCACAAATAATAAGTGAATATTCCATAATTGAATTTTATTTTAACTAAGTTCTTTTTTGTTAACCAAAAAATCGTTTAAAAAAGTTAGTGATTTTTTTTACATCGAAATGCTTATCTTTTACTTCATAATTATCTAGGTAAAATATTAAAAGGAAAATACTTTTTATAATAATTAAATTAAGGTTTTACTAAATTGGTAGGTAAAAAAATATGTAGAGTGTATTTTATTGACGGTGCACGGATGCGGGAAAAAACAGTATTGACGGAGTCTAAACACTGTTTTCATATGGACGGAGTCTAAATTTAACTATTTAGCCTCCCCACCACTACAAATGGTCTTACAATGCAGAATTTAACACAATGGAAAACCAAAGCTTGAATTCCAAAGCCAAATGTGCATGGTAGAGTTGATTGGGGTCATGATCTGATAAAGCTAACTATTTATTGTTAGTTCACTTTCACAAATTTTATAGAGCTCTATATCACTTAATTAGGGGTACGGTGGCCGTGAGTACGTGGCTTCACGCCTTCACCGACCCCCAACTAACCCCAAGCCGACCCTAGCGTTTTCTCCTGACTGGGCACCTGAGCTCCATTATTATGAACTCATGATCAGTCATACTACCTCCGTTCTCTTTTAGTTGCAACGTTGGACTTTTTACACTATTCACATATTCTACTTTGACTACATTTTATTATTTGATGTATTATAAATTAAATTTTTAAAAAATATTGTTAAATTCTTCTCATTCTAAATTTTCAAAATATGAATTTTTAAATTTTTTTACTAATACGGAATGAAAGATATTAATGGTCAAACTTGTGCGTTGGCAAACGTGAAATGTTGACTGTTGCAATATACTTTTACATTTTTGTGGTGTTCCCATAAACAATTTTGAACAAGTATATATGACTCTGGTCACTCCACCAGCTGTCACCTTTATGTATCCAGGGTCACGAGGTTAGGGATGAATCCACAATTTTGAGTCAAGGCGGGCACAACTTTTTTTCGTTAGTAAACAGTTATGTAAATTATTTTAGATGTTTTTCTTTTAAATTTTAAATTAAGCATTACATTATGTAAGACTATATATTAATTTTGAAAACTAAAAGTTAAGGGGCTGGGGGGCAAACACATATACTCCCTATGTTATTTATTATCTGTCTCTTATTCCATTTTCATCTGTTTTTTTATGAAATGTTTTTCTTTCTATTTTCGGAAAGTTTTTGATAAAATATCCTCACTTTTATTATTTTTATCCTTCTTAAAGTAATACTTTTTACAAACTACTTTCTCTTTCATATTGTATCATCACTTTACTCTACTTAATACTTGTATACTTTATTTCCTACTTTATCATTATATTACTCTTTTTAATATACTCTATTTCCAACTTTATCAATTACCCTACGCACTCTATACTTACCCTACTATATATTTTTCTCTTAAAACATGTGCCCAGAATTTTGAAAGTTAAAGGGAGACTGTCCCCCCCTCCCCCCTAAAAAGACCCATCCTTAGCTTAGCTTGTCCAGGGTGACGTTAGGTTACTTTAAAGTTTACTGTCTATACTTATATACTACTACGGAGTAATTAAAAAGAATGTCAAATTACTCAAATATGTATTAGGACTCATTGGAATCTCCCGAAGAAGGGCGGCTTCCTGATGCCAAACAAGGTACGTGCCACTTGCTGCTTTATACTCATTAATTTGATACCTCACTATTCTTCTCAAATTACATACGAGTACAAGTTAATTAACAATAATGAGGTGGAATAACAATAATAAGAATTGAAGAAGAAGAAGAATATGGATCGATCGATCGAGTATTACCTTATTAATTAAAGCATTATTATATTTAAGAATGTTCGGAGTCATGTGAATTGTTCTTAATTATTTAATTACTGCACTACTTTTTCAGGTCAATCTCACTTGAGAGATGTCTTCTATAGGATGGGCTTATCGGACAAGGACATTGTTGCATTGTCTGGAGGACATACATTGGTATATATACTGCATTTATACTACTTTACATACACTCTAAACTACATCAGTTTAATTTCCTAGATAAATTAGTGAAAATATTCATTTGTGTAGAAATAAATAAATACGGAGTAAAATTTATTTTCGGGGTGCTTGATGATAATATAATAGATGAAAGAATCATGTGTGTGTATATGTAGGGAAAAGCACACCGTGAGCGGTCAGGCTTTGATGGCGCATGGACAGAACATCCTTGGAAATTTGATAATTCTTACTTTGTGTACGTACCCATATCGATCCATGCAACGCCTACTTAATTAATACTACGTACTACGAACTTCGTATATACTTCCTCCGTTCCTTTTTAATTGCAACAGTCAACATTTCACGTTTGCCAACGCACAAGTTTGACCATTAATATCTTTCATTCCTTATCAGTAAAAAAATTAAAAAAATCATATTTTGAAAATTTAGAATAAGAAGAATTTAACAATATTTTTTAAAAATTTAATTTATTATACATCAATAAATAAAATGTAGTCAAAGTAGAACATGCGAATAGTGCAAAAAGTCCAATGTTGCAACTAAAAGAGAACGGAGGTAGTATATTACCAAATAACTAGGCGGAGTACGTTCGTACTTAATTACCTGCATGCATGCAGGGAGCTTCTTAAAAGGGAAGAGTCATCACAAGGAGGCCGCCTATTGAAACTGCCCACTGATAAAGCTCTCGTAGACGACCCTAAGTTTTGCAGTTTTGTGAAACTCTACGCAAATGTACGTACAACTTTTACCTATTACCTAATCGTATCATCACTTGGCCAATGGATCTTGAGTCAATAGTGAATATATATAATTAATAGTTTAATACTCCGTATACACTTTTCTGCATGATCAGGACGAAGATGCATTTTTTAATGACTATGCCGAGTCTCACAAAAAGTTGTCGGAGCTCGGCTTCACCGCCCCACCACCACCCCTTAAATCTTCTAAAAAAGTATTATATGGTAAGAGCAAAAGAAGAGTAGCAGGGAGAGTTGTTTTTTCTGTTGCAGTTGCAGTTGTGATCCTAAGTTACATATACCAAGCTATCCATGGAAAGTTCGAGTAGAAATTATAGACAATAAGTCATGATCATAAAGTTGTCAAAATCCATTCCTATTTCCACTCTTTTCAAACTCAAATTGTATCCCACTACTACATACAGTGTGCGCTCGGTATCCCACTACTACATACATTAATACATACATACAAAATGACGTCACTTCTTTAGACTCTTTAGACAAGTAGTACTTCGTATAACAGAAAAAAGTCGATCAGTCACATGCAATGTACTACTGTGAATAAACAAATTGATGCAAATGATGTTATGTTCGGTATAAATACATTTATATGTGGTGTAAAATCTGTAAATACATGTAAACTATATTGTGGTCTGTATGTCAAGGTAAACTATATATGTTTGGTGTAAATGATATTAAGAGATATAAATATATGGAGTGGAGGACCTGGAGGGGGGTCCTAGGGGGGCAAGTGCCCCTCTTCCGACCCCGAACTTTAGTATAAGTACTTAGGATAAAAATAGTGTCTCCCCTATTCGGATAACAAAAACTATGTATAACTATTAAATGAGGTAATAATCCCTTCACATAGTATATGGAAATTGTAATAAGACATTTAAACGACTATGAGGTTATGATGGAATGATTGGTTACGGTTAGACACGATCCTAATTGTAAAAGTTAAATTTTGATTGTTTATAATATGAAAATTATTTTTGTGTTTAGCATCGATATTATAGATCGATTCATGTTAGTCGACCCCAATTTTTTTTGGGATTAAGGCTTGGTTGTTGTTGTTGTATAATATGAAAATTATAAACAGTGCAGGGATTAAGGATGGCAATAGGGGTGGGGGCCCGTGGGGAACCGCCCCGTTGGGGGAGGATGGGGTGGGGTTTGGGGCGGGGCGGGGATGGGTGAGATATTTATCCCCGCTAAAATATGGGGCGGGGATGGGGATTGCTACACCTGTCCCGTTCTCGCCCCGTCCCCATTATAAATGTAAACTCAAAATATATAATACACACACACACATTTTTTTGGGAAAAGTACAGAAAACGTACCTGTGGTTTGGACCATTTTCAGATAGGGGCATGTGTTTCATTTTCTGACAAAGTGAGACATGTGTTTCAATTCCGTTATCATAGCAGAGGCACGGCGTCTAACGCCGTTAGAAAAATTAACTCCGATTTTAAAAAGTCTCCGAAAAATTAAAAGAAAAATACTGGGAGGTGCGGCTCGTCAAGGAGATCAACAAACTATCTTTCTCTTTGGATTTTCCTCGTTTTAAAATTAAAAGAAAAATATTGGGAGGTGCGCCTCGTTTTATTAAGAAAAGAGGAAAAAGTACATGTGAAAGAAGGAAGAAAAAAAAATAGAGAAACAAGAGGAATGCAACTAGATATAGAGCCCAACCCTACCCATACAAATGCCCATCCAATAGAACCCTAACTCCCTAAGTATAGTAAAACTCCTCAATGCTCCATGCGAGTTTGAGTTCACGTCCTCATACGATGTGAATGTTGATTTCTCCTTTTGTAGTTGTTCATCTGCATATTCATATTGTTCGTAGGCAAGCAGTTATCCCTCGTTATCACTTTAGGAAGGGCATAGGCCAAGCCTTATTGCAAATATCTTGATTAGTTTTGAAATCCCATAAATCTTCCATCGTTGACATAGGAGTCCGCTTTTCTTTCTCCGAAGTGTGACCTAAGAAAAACTCCCTCGAGGAGTCGGCCTCCTGATTCTCAATTTTGGCTTCTCTAACTCCAATTCCCCGCTTAGCACCTCTCTTGGCAGCATCCTTTTTTTAGTATCCTGTTGGTCATCAGCAAGCACCTCTTTATGTGATTGCTCACTATTTAATTAGTCCTTGGGTTTCAGATAGTTGTTTAAAGATACGCTCATATTCTTTGGATAGAAATGTTGACAGATTAGCAACACTCGAGTTCATTGTATCCTGGAGGAATAGTTTTAGCTCTGAAACAGAGGATTCTAACGTGGCACAAATGTGAGAAGAATCAAATCAAGTAGTTGTTACCGGAGAGCCCAAAGTACCGATCATATTTCCAGAATATACTAAATCAGCTTGTAATAAGGCATCTGAGATAGTGAGCTCCTTAGTGTCTACATAATTCCCGTCCATACGATCAATAATGAGATTAATTATCTCAAAATCTGAACAACCAGCCTCATTCAATTTTTGTTGTGAATCTGCCTGTTGGGGAGATGATTCTCTCAGTCTGGTAATTGCATGCGAGAGACCGGCAATAAATCTAGTGAAACCAACTCCATTTTTTCCCTCTGGTATAAACAAAGAATCCTCCCCGAAAAAATTCTAACGAACCCCCCAAAGTTATTACCATCTAAACTGGCAGTGATGTATTTGTTAAGAACTGGTCTGAAAAGAGATTTTCCGGGCAGAACTTTAGGCAAAGATGCACATAACCAGATAGCACCATTAAGATCAAATTCAATAGCAGAAAAGAGACCATGTTTACTCTCTCTAATGCAAATTGATGAATCTGAAATATTGAAAGAAAAGAGTTTACTTTCAATAATAAGAGAACTCTCGTCAGTTATGTAGTGTCTGCCTGACTTGTTCTGATTCCAGACCTGGGAAAGTCCCAATCGCCTCACCGGTTGAGTAGGATAGCACTGCCAACTATCGTGACAGCCCAGACTTGTGCACCCCATTTGACACCTTGAGCGCCAGTGTTCTCGGCCTGAGTGAGAAAATCTATACAATCTGCCCCTACAAGTATCAGCTCCTTCTTGTACGTATTTAGCAATCCATCGACGGTCACTGTTTCCCCAAAAGCTGTTGTCCCTCCGTAGATCAGTACGGCGTCTTTCCCAGCCTCCATCAGCAAGTCTTCATTCCTTGTGCGGACTGTTTTACACCGCCAATCTATAGCTCCCAGATTGGTTCGCAAGCCTACCAGCGCAACCCCTGAGGAATCTCCGTCTGCAAGAGCGCTGATGTGACCTGTCTTCTCCAGAGTAGGATCACCTCTGTTTCCTTATAGGTGGATCGCGAGAGGTCTTGGTCGCCCGTGGGATGTCTTCAGCCGTTGTAGCAAGGGGTGGAATCTGAAGTTCGCATCTGGACTGGGGAAGAGCTTGGCCTTCATCTAAAACACAGGTGAGAGAGACGAATCTAATAGATCTTCGGTCCGTCCCTATTGTTGCCGCCGCGCTGGCGGCGGCGCCCGCTTGCCCTGGTATCGCCAGAGCAATCCCTTCCCTTAGACTTTACACCTTATTGTCCTCCAAATTCGATCGATTTGATCGAAGTTCGGTTTTAGTTTTTCTGTTTCTTTTGCTTCGTCTTCCCGGCTCGTTCGAGTTGATCGAAGGAGGTTTTTGTTCTGCTCGATCGTTTTGTTCTTCGGTTGGGCTAGAGTGACGGGAAGAAGGTTTACAAAGGCTTGCATGGAAGAGATTATTAAAGAAGATGGTTAAATTGGGGAACAGATTGGGGAACAGAAGATGGTTAATAACGAACTCCATTTTGATATAGAAGAAGCCGGTTAAGAGGAAGTGACCGGTGAACAGATTGGTTTTCACGTGGTTGGGACGGTGATCTCCGATCGAAGGGTCAATCTGCAGGCGCTACAGGATGCGATGACTTCAGCTTGACGTCCTGTTAAGGGGTTATCCATCAAGGAAATCGATGAAAAAAGGTATCTCTTTACTTTTAACCATGTTTTGGATATGAACCGTGCGCTGGAAGATGGACCTTGGATATGAAGCAGTCTTTTGGTTTCAAGTGCATAATGTTCCCCAAAAATAAAAGAATCTGAATTCTACTAAGCGAATTGGGAATTTTATTGGCTCTTTTATAAAGTTTGATGAAAATAGTTATGGAGACAAAAGGAAACCTTTCTTGAGAATCAGAATCTGTATGGATGTTAGAAAACCCCTGAAAAAGGGCACTTCTCTGAAAAAAGAAGGAAAGGGACATTGGGTTGATTTTAAGTATGAGAAACTACCCAATTTCTGTTTCATATGTGGGATGATTGGACATTCGGATAAGTTTTGTTTGTTACGATATGAGGAAGGGATTATTATTGAAAAATCCTTTGGAGTTGAGCTTAGGGCAGGGGGAGGAGCAAAAACTACCATAGCAGGTCCTAATAAGTGGCTTGTAAGCTCCAAGGAAGCTGTACAACAGAGGAAGCATGAACTTGAGGAGACGCAGTCGGTTGAAACAGGGGCTAGTGCATCGAAGCAAGTAGCAGGTGATGTGGAAGGGGAACCAGGAGAGCTCCTTACAGCTTGGCGTAAGGAGAAACGCTGCATCTGTGTATAAATATCCTTGCTGTCCTTAAACTCTCTCAACTCAAAATGATCATCCTCTTCAAAACATCTTCTGCAATCACCATGTCACTCAAATGGCTTACCCAAGAGTCTCTCTAGATCTCTCATTAGCTCCTCCACAGCCTCAAAATAATAAGAAGGCTTCAGCAACTCGAGAACTAGAAAACTTCATGATTGATCTAGAATCATGGATGATTTTCCAATCTGAAAAGAATTCTCTTGATAAAACGAAACAGAGGGTTCTGAAATGGTGAGCATGGAGATTAGCACCACTCAACCTACTTCTCTTTGCTGCATCCTTCATCAAAGAAGAAGAGAGCTTTGCACTCAGCTGGCTGAGGACACAATCTGTTGATGTCTCCTCATCTGAGAGGCTCATCGACAGAGACTCTATAATGCAAAGCTTGACAAGCTCAAGAAAGCAGAGAAGAAAAGAAGGAGAGAAGCTATAAGGAACTTCTACCCTGGGGAATCATCTGGTAGACAACACCAACAATAGGTGTTTGTTGTTGCCAAAAGGGGGGGAAATAGAATCAAACACTTAGGACTTCAATGTATTTTTGCTTTTATTGAAGTGTTTAGATTCTAGTTTCTGGCATCATCAAAAAGGGGGAAATTGTTAGGTCCCCTAGATTTTGATTTAAAATGAAATAGTTTTGATGATGCCACCCTATTTTATATTAGACTATTATCCCTGTATTAGACTAGTCTACTACTTATGTTCCGCTTTGTGTAACTGTAATGTGCTCCATATTTTGTAGATAAAGTACTCATGAATAACAAAGAGTACTAAAAGGAGAAGTTAAACGTATCATAAACAAAAGAAAGAAAATGATCAAAAAAGAATAAAAGGTACGAAAAGAGTTAACGGGTATTCATTGTTAAGGATTGAGCCAACTGGAAAAACTCCAGAAATTAGCAGCCAGCTGATTTTCAAGGCAGCCAGCTGAAATGCTTGGCAGCCAGCCGAAAGCTGGGTTTTTCAGCCAAACTCATCTGAAATCCAATTCTCTCTTCTCTTAACACAAAACACTTATACAAAAGACCAAC